ATTAAGTCTGTACACCAACATCAGTATTTTTTTTGCCAAGTGGGAGCAAAAGTAAACTTTAATTTTGTGCACTGAAAAATCTGCCTTCCTACCCGCTGGTCAAATTGCCTGTTTTCGCGTAGAAACTCTAATTTTAATTGTAAAAATTGGTTTTTAACTGTATTTGGTGTTTTATGGTTTTTTGTATTTTACAATTTTTAATGGTTTGAGTTTTTATCTACTTTTGCCTTGCCGTGAAATGAAAACTGAATTAATAAAATTTGGAGAAATAAGTTTAAATGAATTGCAGCAAAACATATGTATAATTTAATAGGCTGTAGAAGGAAATCATGGTGTCCAGATTAGGTATTTAAGTATATTGAAATAAGCTATATCATATAGGAACATATATCAGAGAGAGTTCCATTTCCCTGGAAATGCTACAAAGAAATGAATTAGAAGAAATATTGGATTATAAATAATGTGTTATATAACATGTATTAATGATATATTTACAGTGCTTAAAGTTCTTTTTGCTAGAGGTAATGCATATCTTACTATTGGTAAGCATGAGCAGAATTGTCAAGCATATTGTAAGTGAATACATCGAGATGCCTCATTGACTTTTGTGATGAGGTCAAGAATATTGTACTCTGAAGTCTTAATAATTAAGTCCTTAGGATGACCCCAGAAGAAATCAAGAGACCATATTAGCTGATCACGGTTACCATAATCTAAAATTGCTCTTTAACACCACCAGGTGGCATTTGCCTTTAAGTTTATATGGGGTAAAACATAAACTGTTAATATAGTCTTGAAAATAATTTTCCATTTCCATTCATATATCTCATAATTTACTTACACATGTAGCCTAGAATTCTTGCATTCATTATGTTGTTGTCGATTACCGTTTGATTCATAGCAGGAATTTTGCATATTTATGTAATTACGAAAATGTGTTTCACTACTCATAAGAACTGTACCATCTATCCATTTATTTCCTTCAACAGTTTTCCAGTCCCCCCCCCCATCATGGTGATTAAGTTCTTGCTCGACCATATTCTGAATGAAATTTAAATTCAGATACAGTATCCTTCACTACAGTATGATAGGCATAGGCCAATTCTGTGTTTTGATTATGAATGAAAAGTACTATTTTACAGTGACTCATTGCAAAAGAAAACACATTTCTAAGTTATCATAATACCTGATGTCATTTTCCCCCCTTAGTTGTTTAAATTTCAGGAATTTGGTAATTCTCACCAGTTGCCAAGCCTGGTGCTGTTCTAACCAAGAGGGCTGTGTAGCATTTCTCTAAGTGTATGTAAATATAGGCCTTTCTCTTGCAGCATACTTTTTTAAAAATGACCTTTAACCCTTCCTTCTTGCTCCCACCAAAATCATGTGATGAGGCTTTACCCTCTATTCCTAATGTCCATGATATTTCCGGGCTGCAGTGTTCAAAAGACATCAAACGCATCAAAAACATCCATATCCTGAAAATTTTTATTTATTTTACACATTTTCTTGATTCCAAGGTAAACAAGGTAGAAATTAAAAATGAATATAAATATTTTTCATACGCTTATTTTTAAACAATTTTCTTGAATAAAAACATAGGTACATTTTTTTACTGTTTTCTTGAAAATTTACAATTGTTAAGGAGTTAAGATAGTTCTTGCGTGCTTTGTTATTGCAGACTTGCCAATGTCCTGATTTTTGAGCGCATTCCTGCCAATGTGATGTACAGCATTTTTTTATACTTTCTGAGTATTGTAAAAAAGTCGTGAACTTATTGGTGACTAATTTTTCACCAAGCTAATGCACAAAAAGCAATAGCTAGTTTTAAAATGGTGCTGCACTAAGAATTCCAAAGAGCAATCATTCGATAAATTTGAAAAAGCATAAAAAATATTGATAATAAAAAACTTTTTATGAGAAATCCTTTTTTATGTTGTTGTTTTCCTCATATTCACAGTGATCTGTTTTCAACTGAAAAGCATCAGAGAATTTCACAAACTTAGCAATGGCATTGTGCATTGGCCAAAACAGACATGTCCTAAGCACATAACTATTTTTGCAATGTATTGTTTTGCCTCGTGAACAGTTTTTGATAGGGAATGGGGATAATAAAAAAGTACTCATTTTTCTCCTGACTTTCTTATTTCTCAAATTTTTCATGATTTTTATTTATGTGGCCTAATATTCATTATTATTTACTTAGTTTATCTTTTGATACTCATTTTTTTTAAAAAGAAAAAGTTTTATTATACATGTTTCTGAAAACAATCCAATTCTCCAATTCACAGCGAGCACAGCTGAAGGTCATCTGGTGCCAATAAATATGAAGCAAGATCGAAATAGTCCTGCATATCTATCTTAATTATGTCTGTAGAAAAAGTGCTCATATATTTTTCAAAAAATGCATGTAGATGACTTTCCTAGTATTATTTCATCAAGAAAATATATGTTTGTGACATGTACTGTTTGTCCTTGCATTTTCGAGTTGAACACTGAAGAATATATGTACACAAAAAACACAGGGAAGTCAAAAATTGTACAGATTTTTTTTTTTTTTAATTATTCTTCTTTCTCACATTCTACGATTTCATTTATTAAAATATTTGAATATAAGGAATAACTGAATTTTAGAACAAAAGTATAATAAAAAGGGGAGTTTTATTTTCAAGTAAATATATTCTAATTAAAATATTTTGTTATAATCAAGAAATCCATTAAGACAGTGGTCTCTAAATGGGGGCCTGCATTTAGCCTCAAAGTAATTTTATGTTGCCTGTGAATACATTTCAAATGTTCCTTTGCTGCAAATGTTTTAAGATTTGAAGTCCAAATTTACATTATTATCATTACCATTAAAAATGAACGTGTATAATGTACCAGAAAATCTATAAATAGAATTAATTTACAAATGAGATAAATCTTAGCCAGATAGTTGAAGATACATATCTGATTAAAATTTTCTTAATTATCAAAAAGGAAAAAGCTCAGTTGTAAATTTTGCACTAAGAATAACCACTTCTTTTCACTGTGAAAAATTAATAAGAAAAGAAGGCAATTGACTGATAAGCATCTGCAGCCCTGATGAATAAAATTTCTAATAATTTTTTTCCAAGGATTCTTTATCAGAATTGAAGAGCTATTATGTGTCAAACTGTAGTAAGAAATATTGTCCTAATTTATTTTCAAGATTTGTTCCACTTCGAAATTTTTTCTGAAAACGTTTATTTTAGTTTGATTTAAAGTAAGTTGTTTAATGATTAATTAGACACAAAAGAATAAATTCAAATGAATACCAGTCTGACAGTTTAATATTTAGCTGTGTCTATGTTTGAATTATAAAATGAAGCCAACAAAAATGTCTTGCTGGTACCACACTTTATATTTCAGCTAGAAAATAATAAATTTGAATTTTTCCCTTTCCATTAGTATTGTTTATATATGTTTTGATAAATATTTATTTATCAAATGCCTGGCCATTGACCATCAAAGTCATTAGGCAACAAGTTCTCTAATACTTCTTTACAATACAAGTCCAAATTCTTAAGTGCAGAACACACGTCCAGATGAGCAGCATCCATGACTCATCCAGAATCAGACAAAGCACATAAACGTGGAAGCAGTTGGATTAAAACGAAACAAATGAGCACCAAGGCAGTCATGTCGGGTCGATAGTCTAATACAGCAGTAGCACGAGGGAAGTCCAAGATGCAGTCAGCTTTTAATAGCACCCACCATGACTTATGACTTATTTTCAATAACACGTTAGTGTTACGACAGGATTTTTTATAAATCCTATTGATTTCAAGTTTAGAGAGATATGTCTCTGGAAGACCTTTGGAGAATATCCATACTTTTTTTTTGCCGAAAGGTCCACCATCTTATTTGCCCAAAGGCCACAATGTGATGGCACCCAGTGAAAAGTAATCTTTGTCTGAATTCTGCTCAACAGCTCCCTGCAGCTCTGGACATGAGCACTTTGTTTTTCTAGGTTACTTGCTAAGGCCTGAAGAGCAGAACTTGAGTCCGATAAAATTACAGCCTTATCAAGAGGAGAGAGACGGTCAAAAAGCTGTTGAAGGGCTCAATGGATTTTGATAAATATTTAGTATTACATTTAAAACTTAGGTATAATAGTTTTTATTTTGTTGATAAAAATATTAGTTTTGTTAAAAAAACACTCTGGCTTGTCAGCTGTTTTGAGACTGTGCATTTTGCCTGCATGTAAATTGAGTTTCAAACTACAGTTATAAAATATGGAATAGCTAAAAAAATTTTTTTTTATGTTCTGAAAACAAGTACATCAACACCTTTAAATATAAATTCATAAAAATATTATTCTATTCTCCATAAAATAAAACACACTAATTTTTCCCTTTATGCAAATTAACATATATTTGATATTTAATGTCACTTAAATTATTAAATTAGTGACATCTATCAGTAGCAAAACTACCTATGTAAAAAAAAATAAATTACTTGCTCTAATTTATGTTTAAAAATCAGTTTACTTTGAGGCTAAATCAGAAAATCAGTTTTATGCAACATGCTTATAATTTATGAGGCACATGTAAAAACACATTAAAATTATCATTTTACCTTAACATTTATGATAGTATTCATTTGAACACAATAAATTTTTTTTGGAGGGGGGCACTCTCTATTTAACATAATTTAAATTTTTACAATTGACTGTGTGCTTTTTACACTGTATATTTATCGTACCATTCTGAATATACAAACAGATGAAAATGGAAAATAAACAGATTAATTAAATACAAAATTACAGAGTTACATATAATTATCATATTTAAGTATCGTCTAATACAAGTTTTTAATGTTCTTATTAATATCAGGCACACAAATTAATAGGAATTGTATTACTGAACAAAGAATAACTCGCAGTGGCCAAAGAGTACATTTATACACTTTGAAGCCTCTTTCCCTACAAAAAAAAAAAAAAAAAAAAAAAAAAAAAAAAAAAAAAAAAAAAAATACACACACAGATATTTAACATTTTATTCATAAATTAGAATTGTTTAAAGCTATATATTTACAGATATACTACATGATTATCAAAACCCTGGATCCCAATCTGTGACTTGGGCAACATCTTTGGGTGAATAACAAATGATGTTATCACCTGGCAAAAAAGACAGTTCTGGGTTTTCGATTCTCAATCCACATTCTATGCCTTTGTTTATTGTTTCAACATCAGATTTTTCATGCCTTAAAGATACTACAGGACCTATAAACAGAGCAAGTTAATACAATTATTACTGTCTGTGAAACAATAATATTCCAATATAGAAAATCCTTGAGTCAAAACTTGAAATATTTTTACTATTATATGACATACAAAAATTGTAAAATTAAATAATGAGAAAAATATTTAAAAACAATATAAGTAAGAACAAATTTTATAATAATATAGAAGAAAAAATATTTTGATGTCTGAAAATAAACTATATTTTGAAGAAGGAAGATATATCAAAAAGGCATTAACTACTATCAATAATTATTATTACTAAAAAAAACTCGCTAGTCAACTCTTGTTTGATATTATATAGGAATCCAATCACTTTAATGTAAAATAGGTACTGTAATATGATTATTTACATAACTTATATGCTATACACTAGTGGGAAAAATTAAGCAAACAAACTATGAATAGGTGCTTTATTTTAATTCTATTAAGTGAAATCTAATGAAAAATGTTGATTAGCTGAAAATCAGAGTTATGATACAGGGGCTAGTGTTTGACTTTTTGCTGTCCTGAATTCTAAAAATTCTGCTGCTATTAAATTCAGACACCCACTGTGACCGTACAGGTTGCATCGGACCTATTATCACATTGTCCAATAGGATTCACCTCTGGTTTACAGAAATATGCTAATTTTTATAACCATTCTCTCAGTAGAGGGGTGCTTTAAATTATATTTTGAGGACTCTATAAGTAGCTGGACAAAAGTTTTGCATGTTGGGGGAAGGCATATGGTGGATTTTGAGAAATGACATTTTATTGGGTGAATGAAAGTAGGACACAGGTCTGTAAAGACCTAAAAGTAGCTAAAAATGTCTAGCCAAGAATCTGGAAATGGTTTAAGGATATTGGCAATTGATGCAGACAACCAAGTCAAACTCAGAAATATGCCAGAACAGACTCTTAGAGACATTATTTGGCAACAATCGCTATATAATAATAATACTAATAATAAACACTGACACTAGCTCAGATTGCAAAGGAGTTCCCAGCAGTTAGAGGAATATGACTATTCTGAGGCACTATGAATAACAGGGCTACATGAAAGGAAGTCCACAAATTATGTCCTACTAACTCAGACTGTAAAAAGCACCAAGTTGCAGTGGTGCAGAGATAATTGCACAATGGACTCTGTTGATTAGTCTCAGTTTTGTTCAGAATGTGATTCCAGTCATGTTATACTCTAGAGAAAGCAAAACGTGCAATAACCTTGAATGACAATCAAGATCTGTCCACTAAAGAGTTCCTTCACCATTCCTTTTCTTATTTTCTCTAAATGGCTTACAGGCAAGTATGCCAAGGAGAGGCATATTAAAAACAACGGATAAAAGGTTATAAAACGAGCCAAATGACACAAAAGGAGGCTGGTTCTCTTTCGCTTAACTTACTGTGACCTTGATAAAAGAAGCACTTTGTCATGTACATTTTTTACTATCCTAATAAACTGTTGATTTTCAGTGTTTATTGAAGGGTGAGGCATACTTGCCAACCTATGACACTAAAAAATCAGGAGATTTTTTTAAGAAATCAGGAGATTTTTCACAATGTTAAAAAGACTTTTTAAATGATAAAAATATAGTTTTCAATAATGAATTAACTTTAAATAGTTACTAATTCTTAAATGCAAGCAACACAAAAATACCTTACACATAAAACCATTTTTATTACTTGCATCGTTTAAGAAAACAAAACAACAACAACAAAAAAAAAGACATTTTAATCAGTTTTCATACAAATGCTATGAACAGTGGCAGATTTTGCTTTCGTTAAGAAAAATGCTTCATAATTTCATTCATAGCAATTGTCACGTAGGCCTGCTTTCGCTAACAAAAGTTTTTCTAATGTGTCATCACTAATATTAGATCTAAATTTAGTCCTCGTTTTCGCAACACTGAAAAATCCTCTCATACTCTGCATTACTGTGGGGAACTGTCAAGATGGCCAACATAATTTTAGGCAGTTTACTATATTTTAAAATTCCATCAGCACCTTTCAGTTTTCCAATTAAACTCCACTAAATGTCAATCCAGCTGATTTAATAACTTAATCCAAGTTTCCTATTTGTAAACTACAAACTTGCTACCGCAATATTTATCAGTGACAACATCAATATCATCAGCTTTCATGACTAAATGAAGTAACACAGGAAATCTGTTCAAAAAGTACCTTATATAAGAAAAAGATGCACTTGCTAGAGCAGAAACATCAGCAACCTTAGCATGTAAAATCACTTCATCGTTGAATCGAAATTTATGTAGTATGTAATCACATACTCGACAGAAGTAACTTCTAACATGAAGATAAAATTTATTTTTGTCTTCTTCTGAAAGTTCTTCCACTACTTTTGTAGTTGCAGCTCCTATTACCAAATCTTCATCTTTCTTCTGATTTTCTATTTCACCATAAATCACATCATATATAGAATTACAAGAAAAAAAGGCTCCAGTAAAAAGGCAGAGAACAGACATTCTGCATTAATAACTTTTTGGTCTTTTGTTTCCGAAGAAAAATTTAATTTTTCGTTTTTTTCAAAACAACTCATGTTTTCCTTGTGTTCGCACATGGTTGAGAACATCCGCCCTTCCACCATGCGAAATCGAAAAATCGCAACGACAGATGGTAAACATCGCAAATTTATTACATTTCCTTGAGGAAATAAAGGAAGGAAAGTCAACTGTGCACTATTTTTGAAACGTACATGAGTATTTCACCTTTCTCGCAGACATAACAAAAGATGATAATTTCTAAAACTATTTCTCAAAGGCACATAAACTCGCACAACTCGGGACAAGATGAACGAAATTACTAAAGAACATCCGAGTAACAGCTTGCTTGCTTTGTGCTCAAAAGCTAATATATGCCAGATGACACGAAGTGGACCTCGATGCCAATTAGAGAACTGGAGAATGATGTTTCTGGATACGTATGCTCTCACTCACAAAGCAGAAATTCTCATCTGATTCGCAAGGTTTTGTTTTAGATATAATCTAAAGAAAATTCAATTGCTTTCAGACATCCAAAATCACCTTTTTTGTTCATATAATAAAGTATTAGGCCAAGTTTCATAAAAATCGTGAGAAATTTTCAGAATAAGAAAAAGTCGGGAGAAATATATTGTAAATTGGGTTGGCAGGAGAGGGGTCGGAAATTGGGAGTCTCCCGCCTAAATCGTGAGAGTTGGCAACTCTGGTGAGGTAACTACAGGAATCTATGACAGCTACTGTTAGTTGGGTCTCAATTAATATCATTAACACTGTTTAGGTATTGAAACTAATCATGAAAGCTTGGAGAAACTGACTGAAACATATGCTATGACTCCCCAGATGCCAACACTAGTATGATGGATACATGCTACTCCACACTGATGTGGGGTGAGAATTGGTAGCTAGAATATTTTCATATAGAAATTCTGTGATCATCCAAGCAAAGTGAAAACTATGATTCATTGATGAAGATAATATGGCTTTAATAAAATAAATTTCAAACTTTGTGGTAACAACACTAGAGTAAACATTGCTGTTGATGCTCAAGAATTAATAGTAGATGCTGATAGTAGAGTTGAGTGTCAGTAGCCTTCGTGCAATGGTACTTCATAATGCCATATTTCCAGAAAGTGTTGATATATAATTACTGAAAGACTGATAATAAAGGTGTATGTATAGGGCAGATTTAACTATTGTATGATTATCTCAAGATGCTGGCCTCCTAGGCTTGCCATTGTCTTCATGGCTATTGATGTCTTGCTGGAATCATCTATTTGACCAACCCTTATGCTAAGCAATCCATCAGTATAACTAGCTTGCCTTCTCTAAAGATGATTAGACTTTTGCTAAACTCAATTACTAGTATCACCCCAGAGTTAATATTCGGGACATTCTCATTTATAACATGTCTGCAAACAACATGTCAGCAGAAACAATTTGAGCTAACAAAGCATTTCAGCATTATTATGTTATTATTAATATAGTTTACATGTTTGACTTCTGAATTAGTTTATTCAGCGTGTTATTGTGTCTTAATTAGTTTACATGTGTTCAGGATTGCATTTTCCCAAGCACTTTAGGTGTACTCAGTGCATTCACGTCTTATCATTTACATACTTCATTAAGAGACATTCACATGTAGAGACTGTCAAAAGTATTTCTAGGTGCAGGTACTTTTTGATAGTCAGCGTTTTGTTAATTTAAACACATTTGTATTTTTTATTAAGCCATTTACAATTTTTGGAGATGCTAGAGACACCTCTTTTTTTATTTCTTTGTATGAAGTAAAGGAAGCATTGTAATCATGAAAAATTCCAAGTATCATATTTCAACGAAAATATCTATTTTGACCCCTATCAGATGCAAATTAACAATGTTTTTGTGTGACATCTGTACATAAGGACAGAATAAAGGGCTCTTTTTCCACAAATGGATTACAAAATTGCTTAAAAATGGATTCAGAACAGATTTTTTTCATGACGTCTTAAGTACCTATGTATGTATCTTGCATAACTTAAAATCAAGTAGCCTCCGAGCTTTGAAGTTTTGTATATAGACTGCTATAACACGTAGTTGTGCACCTTCTTTTTTGGTTTCAATTGATTGCGCCAAAAGTATATAAACATATATATATATATATATATATATTCGAGGGCTGTGGAGTCGGTAGGGAAAATGACTGACTCCCTCTTACGTATATATGTAAACATATACACATGTGTTAGAGCTTATTTTCTTAATATAAAAGAAGTAGTAGATGCTACAGAAAAAAAAAAAAAATGATGGCGTAGCAAATTATTTATATTATTCAGTATTTATTATTATGAAATGAAAAAACTGGCATTAGTAATTTCTAAGAAACAGTATAGCTTCAAAAGATCTCCTTTGTTAGATGACCACAGATCAGATTTCAAACTTCAGAGCTGAGAACTTTCCACACTGACTTGAATAAGAAGAGCTGTTACTGTTAGGGCTACTTCTTTTAACTTTTCAGGATAGTTT